TCGGGGGAAGTTTGGGAAACCCGGGTCAAACCCGTGGGGGGTTTAAAATTTTGAAATTTTTTTAATTCGAGTTTTGGGGGTTTTTTCACGTTTTGAGGGGCTTATGAGAAAAAAAAACACAAATTGACCCCTGTTTAGGTTCAACCCTAACCCCGAAAAGGTTTAACGGGAAATTCCCCAACATTTAGGGTGGGACCCCCAAATCCATTGTATTTTTTTACTTTTCCGGTTTTCATCGTAAGGTACGCACAAGTTTGCACATACGTACTATGCTTAGTTTTCAGCGTAGGTATGCATGATTTAATCGTATTGCGCATGGTTTCGACATAAGGTATGCATGATTTCATCGTACTACGCATGAATTTTATTGTAGTATGTATGTTGTCATTTCAACGTAGTTACGATGACCCTTTCATCATAAGAATCTAAGGGTGCAACGAAATTCGTCAAAATATTACAGTGAATCTCAATGGTATGTTATGAAGTCAGCTGCACCACCTTAATATGGAACATTTTCACCATAATATAGAGAATCTTCACTGTGCAACATTTAGAGTGCAGGATAACCTAACCGTCCCACGTCTTTCGAAAAGGGGCGTTGCATTTAGCTGCCCCTCCCCTCGAGTGGGTCACGTAGTACCGGTACGGCTGCCGAAGGCGCACAGTACCTCAGGGCCAGGCTCGGCGCATGGCGTATTGGCAATGACTGTACCCGCGACCCACCCACGATCTTCCCGGTGGGGCTCTGGGGGCCCTGGGGGCCCTGGGGGCCCTGGGGGCCCTGGGGGCTTGGCGGCCACGGTCGGGCCGCGGGCATCGCTTGCTCTCCGGACAGCCCTAAGTACGGTCCCTTTGGGGCCCGGGGTGGGGCGGGGTTGTGTGAGAGAGACAGAGAGGGGGGGGGGGACGGTCCGAAACTTGGTGAAACAGCCCGAGGCCGAAGATGGCACGAAAAAGGGGCGTGTTTTCCGTCGCGTTAGTGAATACGGGGCGTCACAGTGTTTCTTTTTACTTTTCGGCGGGGAGGTTTGCGCGGAGTTCACTGAAACCTTTAGCTTTTTTTAAAAAAATAAAAATGCGTTTTCAAGCACATGTTTGGTGCAGTTTGAGTTTAACGAGGTTGACGAGGAGGTTGACTCGGCTCGGTCCGGTTCGGCGCCCCACGCGTTCCTGCGTCAGGCCCCACAGTGGGCCTGAAGACCGGCGCAGGCAGCCCAAACTCGAGACGCGTTTTTAGCTCCAGAGTCGCTAAACGGGACTCGAAACGAACGTGTGACCCTGCCAATGGATTCCACGTTCGGAGAGCAATCCATTGCTGGAGTCGCACGTTTGGCTCGAGTCCCATTTAGCGACTCAGGAGCTCAAAACGCGTCTAGAGTTTTGGCCGCCGCCACCGGTCTTCTGGCCCACTGTGCGTCCAGGTGCATCTCGATTATCACCGAACAATGGGACGACTGTTGTGATGCAAAGCAGGCATTGGGGCTGCTGATTACTGCACCATTAGGCGTGGGGGTGGCGGGGCCTTCTTTGACGGACAAAAGCTTGTTTGCGCGTACGGGGCGGGGCGGGGCGGGGCGGGGCGGGGCGCGGCGCGGGTGGGCAGGGTGCGGGTTTAGTTGCCAGCGTTGGACAAAAGCAGAGCGCAGTGTTGGAGTGCTGTCAAACAACACAGCGAAGCCCTCTCGTGCCGAAAAGACAGAGAAAGAGACAGAGCGCGCAGTGTGCAGTGCTGTACAGAGAGGCACCTGTCTGCTCAGCGACAAAGTTGAGACCTCAAACAAACAACACTAAAAAAACAACGTGCACGTGCAACTGCCAGGCGATCAGCTGCAGCCGAGGGGGCAACCACTCGCGTAATCCTGTGTACACTTGACTGGTCGAAGTCTTGCGCAAAATCGGGAGAAATCTGGTGAAATTCCATCGAAATCTGGTGAAATCTCGCAAAAAACCATGAGAATATGGTAAAATCCCATGAGAATCAGGTGAAATCTCGCGAAATCTCACCAAAATCTCGCGGAATCTGGCATAATTTTGACGCGAAATCCAGCGAAATCTTGTGAAATCTCGACGAAATCGCTGTCATTGAAGAATCCTGCGTACAAAAAATTTCAAGTGGTTGCCCCCTTGGCTTTCAGCAGCACAAGTTATCTAGAAGAGAGCAGCCCAGGCTAAAAAAACCATGGTCGTCATGGTGAATTTCCATGGCCATAGGGCTGTTCCCCATGGTGGAAGTTGCCATCCCCATGGTTTAACCGGCTTCCCCATGGTGGAGGTCGGACCAGGGGGAGAACCACCATGGTGCGGCTTCTAGACCATGGGAAAGGTCTTCCCATGGTGCGGGCCCACCTGGTGGCGCTCGCACCATGGGGAATGTCGCCCTCCTCGTGCGTTGAAGTCTCCAGAGTTTATTCAGAAATTATCCGTAACTTTTATATATTTCGAGATAGAGTGACGCCGACAGCACCATCGTGCGTAGCATCGAATTTTGATCGGTGTCCAAGGTGCCTGATGCTCGCAAGGTATAAACTAGACACGTCCTTCATTCCCCATGAGGCAGTGCACCATGGTGCAGCCGCCCCCATGGTGCTCGCATCCCCATGGTGCACGCATCCCCATCCCTGATGAAAACGGAGCGTAAACGAAGGATGAACGGGGAGGTAAAACGAAGCATAAACGAAGGACGAAAGTAAACGCTTGTTTCGGCGGAGCTTAAACGAAGCATAAGGCTTCGAGACCATCCGAGCATAAACGAAGCTTGAACGAAGCATAATCGGAGTGGGAATAGGTAAAAGGAAACAGACCGGCGAGGCTACCTCCTGATGATTCTCCGAGCCTGGGGCCTCGTTTGACCCATCCACGCGTGGGAAGCGCCGAAAGCGATGCTTGTAGAAGTTTTGAACCCACGACGCCGCCTCGGTGCACCTCAAAGCTGAAGACGCTGCCAACTGCGCCACGGAGGATGTCTGGGGAGCTTCCTTTACACTCAAAAAAATTTCAATACAAAATTCTGTAACATGGTTACGCAGTAATTTCCACTACAAATGTTACAGAATTTTGTATCAACACTGATACAAAATTTTGTATCACGCGTTACGGTAAACTGTTTCCCGGTTACAGAATTCTGCAATGCTAAAATCATAAAAATTTGACGCTTTAAAAACAAAATTTGAATTCATCGGTCGTTCGTTCTACACATTCACTCCGTTGCTCCTGTACTCCCGAACACCCGGAGAAATCGAACTGCGTTTCCGGAATCGAACCCCGGCCCCCCGGATTGCCAGCTCGGCATGCTACCGCTTGCGCCACAGCGCCGCAGGGGAGGCACGCCTCAGACTGTCGATCACACCGAGGGGGCACGCCGCATGCCCAGGTAGTGGTGGGAAACGAGTCCTGCGGCGCGACAGTTAGAGTTCCTGGCCCGAAGCTTCTTAATACCATGCCCTACGTTAGGACTTTTCCCCCGATCAACTGTGATGAAAAAATTTAAGCTCGTAATTTGACCTTAAATTTGCGTTATTAATTTGCATCAGACGATATGTAAACTCGTAAAAACATGTTACAGTTTTCTGTATCAGTTACAGTTATTTGCATTAAGATCGCTTTTTTACATGGAACTGTATCACTGATTGTGAATATTGAAAAAAAAAGTACAGAATTTTGTATCAGTTTTAGAATTCTGAAGCACTGATTCGTAAATTCGTAAATTTTTCCCGTGATACAGAATTTAGGATCAAGGATAAAAATTTTTGTATCACACTGACGTGTTACAGAATTTTGTATAAAAATCGTTACAAAATCCTATATTATTTTTTAGAGTGTACACAGCACCTGACTATCTGAGCGAGAGTGTTCTCCGGGCCCACCCCCGGCTGGGGTCACTGGGGGGGGTACGGCTGCAACATGGTTCGGCCTCAGAGCCAACTCATTGCAATTTCTCTAAGTTCGCCGGAAGCGTAAACGAGGAGGTATTGGAGAGTTGACGAAGAGGTCAGCCCACGGAGCGTAAACGAAGGAGAGCGCTCCCTTCGTTTCAGCTTCCCCGGTCGAAAGGAAGCATGAACGAAGTGGTATCGGAGCGTAGGTGAAGATGTCGGCCGCGGAGCGGAAACGAAGAAAACGCCACCCCCGTTTAAGCTTGCCCCGACAGGAGGGAAGCATGAACGGGGTGGTATCGAAGAGGAAACGAAGCGGTCAGGCACGGAGCGTAAACGAAGGAGGAACCACCTCCGTTTAGGCTTCCCCTGCCAGGAAGGAAGCATAAACGAAGAGATTGGAGCGTAAGCGGAGCACTACCTCTTCGTTCATGCTTCGCTCACGCTTCGTTCATGCTTCCAGGCTCCAAACGTTATCCTTCATTTTCATCAGGGATGGCTCGCATCCCCATGGCTGACCTCCCCATGGTCCTGAACACCATGGGCATTTCTCCATGGGCAAAATCTTGTGACCATGGTGAATCACGGATCACCATGGTCAGCCATCCCCATGGCCCAGCTCATGGTTTTTTTAGCCTGGGAGTGGCCAGAGACACCGATGCTTTTGTTACTCCTCCGATAATTAGCTCTGTTGTTCAATCGGAACGTGAACCAGCACAACACTTGAAACGTTTCGATTAGAGAAGAACATGACATGACATGACATGACATGACGACTCATGAGAATGAAGTGCACTCGGGTGCGCGGGCGGCATCCAATCGGCGGGCTTGGAAGTGTCGCCTGTCCGTCTGTCTGCCTGTTAGTCAGCCATAAATTCATTCATTCATTCATTCATTCATTCATTCATTCATTCATTCATTCATTCAGTCGGTCCGTCAGTCAGTCAGTCTGTCTGTCTGTCAGCCAGTCTGTATCCGTCTGTCTGACCCCCCCCCCCCCCCGCCAATGATTGTCCGCCACTTGAGCCGGCAGGTGAGTGTCCACACGTCCACACGCCGCGCCCGGCCGAGCCAGTGGACCGGGGTACCGGCGTCCGCGCGCACGGCAGCACACAGCCAGTCGCACGCAGTCGGACCGCCATGCCGGGTCGACGGCCGAGGTTCTTGCCGCTCGCGGTGGCGGTGGTGGTCGCGGTGGCGGCGGTGGCGGCGGTCGCGGGGGCCGTGGAGCAGGCGGCGTGCCCCAGCCGGCCGCCCGCAGCGCGCTACAGCAGCAAGACAGCGTACCAGCTTGTCCACGACGGCGGCGTCGCGCCGCAAGACACGGTGCAAGGTAACTTGGCCGAGTACAGCAGCAAGTACACGGACGGCAGCGCGCCGACAGTGTAGGGCCGTGTTTGCGATCGGAGCGGACTGGTTCCGAGAGTCCGTCTCGCGCTCTGTCTCTCTCGCACCTACAGCGGACGCCCCTTGAGTGCGAGGGAGACAGAGCGACGAAAGCGGCTCTCGGAACCAGTCCGATTTCCAGAGTGTCAGTCACGGGAGGAAGTTCAACGGTTCAAATACCGCAAATAACGGTCATTTTGGAAAAATTATTAGAGTACTTTCTTGCACCAGTTTCATGTTTGTTTTTTTTTTTTTTTTTTAAGGAGCTCAAGACATTTTTTCTAAAGTTCATTTTTTGGAAATTTTAAAACGGTACTTGGCCTTTCTACCAATTTGGAAAAAAGGGTTTTGAGAGCCAGAAACGCACTCGTAAAATAACGTGTCTTGCCGTCTGCGGGCACACCAGAAGTTCGCCGGCGTCTGAATTTTTGATACACCATTAAACAGCGAGATCGTTGTTCCCACCGGGACTCCTAGGCCGGCAAAAGCGGCAAAAGCCACCGCGGGACGGGGCGGGACACAAACACCGTCGCGGGCCGGGTCGTGAACATCGAGAAAATGTAACCCTTGCCTGGTATCGAACCACGAACCTTATACCGGTGCGGACCAGTGCGCTAGCTTCCGCGGCCACGGAAGTCCCAGGAGGCAGACGGCACAGCAGTCATAGTATTTCGGGGTCGGCCAAAGCTCAAGACGCGTTTTGAGCTCCAGAGTCGCTAAATGGGACTCGAACCGAACGTGTGACCCCATCAATGGATTGCTCTCCGAACGAGGAATCCATTGGTGGGGTCACGCACGCTCGGTTCGAGTCCTGTTTGGCGACTCTGGAGCTCAAAACGCGTCTAGAGTTTTGGCCACTGTTCGTTGACGCAGGCTTTGCGCAGGCTGCGACGCGGCGTACCTGTGGCACGTGCTGCGGCACGGCACGCGCTACCCCAGCGCCAAGGAGATCGCCAAGCTGACGGCCGGGGTGGCGGGGCTGCAGGCCAGGATCCACGCCAACTTGTTGGCGGGCAGGGTGACGCTGTGTCGCGGCGACGCGGAGCGTCTGCTGTCCTGGACGCTCAACGCCACCCTGGCGCAAGGCAACGACCTGCAGGCGCAGGGCCAGCGCGACCTGCTGGGCATCGCGCGCCGCTTCAAGGCGCGCTACCCGGCCTTCTTCGGCCGCCACGCGCGCGACGCCTTCACTGTAAGTCTTAGAGTGTATCCACTGGCTGAGGCGACGGACTGCGACGCAATGTGACGCCAAAGCGGCGGCGGTCCTCGGCCGCAGCGGCAGGTTCGTTCCGAGCACCGCTCTGTCTCTCTTGCACTCATGGCGCGGCCCGTCAGGGAGCGAGAGAGACAGAGCGACGACAGCAGTGCTCCGCCAGTCACGCGGCCACTGACGCAGCCGCACGGCCCTGACGCCGCGCGCTGCCGACGAGCGGCCGAGGGGGCCACCACTCTCATTTCAGGCGTACACAAGATTACGGGATTACGGGAAATTTACTAGGGATTACGCGTGAAATTTTCGAAAATTGGTTCGAAAACGTTCTCAAAAACGTTGAAAAGTGACTAAAAACGTTTAAAAATGACAGAATTTTGTCAAGGATTACGTGATTACGCCATAAATTACCAGAGATTACCAGCCAATTTGTACACAGGATTACGGGGGTGGTGGCCCCCTCGCGAGCGGCGCAGTCGCTTCAGTCAGCCGATGTGGTCTGCTCAGTGTACAGTAGGCCAGAAGACCGGTCGGTGGAGGGGGCTAAAATTCCAGAGGCGCCTTTTTTAGCTCCAGAGTTGCGAAATGGGATCGAACCGAACGTGTGACCCCACCAATGGATTGCTCTCCAAACGAGGAGTCCATTGGTTGGGTTCGAGTACCAGCGACTCCGGAGGTCAATAAAATGCGTCTAGAGTTTTGGCCGCAGCTACTGGTCTCTGGCCCACTGTGCAGTGGTGTGCACGTGCACTCTTACCCACACTGTAGACAGAGCGAGACAGAGAGTGCTGCCGAACACCGGACGGCAACGGTCTGTTCAAAAACCACCTGACACCCACCATCCTTGTCCCCCCCCCCCTTCAAATCCTCCTTTACCATTCAAGTTTCCGGTCCGCGGAAATTAGTAGCGCGGTTTGTGGCCGGGCTCTGTCTCTCTCGCTCTCACGGGGCGTGCCGTTGCGGAGAGAGAGAGAGAGAGAGAGAGAGAGAGAGAGAGAGAAGAGAGAGAGAGAGAGAGAGAGAGAGAGAGAGAGAGAGAGAGAGAGAGAGACGAAGCACTGCGCGGGATCGTAGTTGAGTCCGAAAGCCGCAAGTCACCCACCGAGTTTGGACCGTCACACTGTCACAGTTCCGCAGCACGGACGCCCGGCGCACGCTGGCCAGCGCGACCTGGTACGGCCGCGGGCTGTTCGACGAGGACGTCGCCGCCGTGGTGGACAACGGCCTGCTCAAGGTAGGTCTCGAAGTGGATTTGCCAGCCAGAAGACTGGCGCCGCCGGCCAAAACTCCAGACGTGTTTTGAGCTCCAGAGTCGCTAAATGGGACTCGAACCGAACGTGTGACCCCATCAATAGATTCCTCGTTCGGAGGGCAATCCATTGGTGGGGTCACACGTTCTTTTAGAGTCCCATTTAGCGACTCTGGAGCTCAAAACGCGTCGAAAAGTCTCTCTCTCAGGCTCCTTAAAAATAATTTTGAAAATAAGTTACAATATTTTTATTTCCACTTGTCTGGAAGAGGTTAATACTTAATTGCGTCTGAAATATTTATAGTAACTTATTTTCAAAAATATTTTTAAGGAGCCTGGAAGAGACACTGTTTGAAATGAAGAAATGTGGGTTGGTCTACTGAGCGGTAGGTCCAACCCACCCTGGCGCACCAAACTCGCGCCATTCTGACCGGCCATTAAATTGGGACCGCATGCCGCAGTTCTACGAGAACTGCCCCGCCTGGGAGGCCGCCGTGGACGCCAACGCCAGCGCCCGCGCCGAGGTCACCAAGTTCCAGGACGGCGCTGTGGTCAAGGCGGCGGTGGGGCGCGTCAGCGAGCGGCTGGGCTTCGAGCAGGCGCTGGACTACGGTGAGCCGCCTTCACTTTTTGCACTCTGGAAACGCCACAAACTGTTTCAGGCATTTCAAAGAAAAGCAGCTTGCTTGTTTTGGCAAAGTATTTGAGCACGAGGGGAAAAAATACTGTGAATTTCGGTGTACAAATCCAATGAATTTCAGTCGAATTTCGATGAATTTCAGTCGAATTTCGATGAATTTCTGTCAAAATTCGATGAATTTCAGTCGTCGTCGAATTTCACAAATTTGATGAATTTCGGTGTCCAAATTTGGCTGGAGTTATTTCCCCTTGCTTGAGTATACATAAGCATACAAAGAAAATACTTCGTAAACAAAGTAAATTAGTTTGTACTATGTATGTTCAAAATACTCCGTAAGGTTTGAAGCATGTGAACAGCCTGCACTTACTGGTACAGCCGACTGATTCCGAGAGTCTCTGTCTCTCTCGCACCCACGTGGCACGTTCCACGCGTTCCACGGGTGTGAGGGAGATAGAGTCTGACGCTCGTCTTCCTCTCCAGACGACGTGGAACTGCTGTGGGAGGCATGCCGCTACGACCAGGCGTGGACCCCGACGAGGAGGCGCCCTGGTGCACGGCCTTCGACCAGGAGGACCTGCTGGTGAGGCACTGGAAAACAAAAACCACACACATTTGGAACTTTGGCGAGTCGACAGTTGAGTACTTTGAGGACAGAATCGAGGACACAAGACGAAAAGTTGGCAGGGCAAGGCGTATATTACGACTGACATTCACGTCGGTTTCTGGGAGGGAGGGAAGGGAGTTGCGTTCCGGGAGAGCTGTTTGAGTTCACCAGAGTCTGGAGAGCAGTCTCGATGACGTCATGATGACGTGCTGCTCTGCAGGTATTCGAGTACCGGGCCGACATCAAGTACTACTACGTGGGCGGGTACGGCAACGCCATGGACCTGCAGCTGGGCTGCCCGCTCGTCAAGGACCTCGTCGACAAACTGAGGTAAACAAACGGCCCGGGGCACGCACAGTGGGCCAGAAGACCGGTGGTGGCGGCTAAAATTCTAGACGCGTTTTGAGCTCCAGAGTCGCTGAATGGGGCTCGAACCGAACGTGTGACCCCACCAATGGGTTCCTCGTTCGGAGAGCAATCCATTGGTGGGGTCACACGTTTGCTTCGAGTCCTGTTTACCGACTCTGGAGCTCAAAACGTGACTAGAATTTTGGCCGCCTCCACCGGTATTCTGCTGGCCTACTGTGTCACTGCTCGTGAATACTACTCCGAACGCGCTATACATGCGCAGCGCTTTCGAGGCCGGGGACACCGGCCGGCGGGGCAACGCCTACTTCACGCACTCCACCGCCATGCACCTCACCATGGCGCGCCTGGGGATAGGGCGCGACGCGCTGCCGCTCACGGCCGACTCGTACGAGGCCATGAAGACGGCCAGGAAGTGGAGCATCTCCGGCCTGGGGCCCTTCGCCGCCAACATCGCCGTCGTGCTGTACGAGTGAGTCTCTCCGCCGCTTCCTTATTGAGTGGGAGGCGGTCGACATCCCGGACGCGTTTTGAAGCTCCAGAGTCGCTAAATGGTGCTCGAACCGAACGTGTGACCCCACCGATGGATTGCTCTCCGAACGAGGAATCCATTGGTGGGGTCACACGTTCAGTTCGAGCCCTGTTTAGCGACTCTGGAGCTAAAAACGCGTCTAGAGCTACGGCCGCGCGCGCCTCCACCGGTCTCCTGGCCCACTGTGTGACCTGCTTGGCGGCTGCTGCAGGTGCCCGAGCGGCGAGAAGCACAAGCTGCGCATGTACGTCAACGAGCGGCCGGTGGCCGTGGAGGGCTGCAGCGCCCCCGACGCCCTCTGCTCCTGGAGCGACTTCAAGCAGCGCTTCGCGGCCGTGGCCAGCGCCTGCACCCTGGACTTCTGCGAGCGGAGCGCGGCGGCCTCGGCGCGGTGGGCGACGACGGCGAGGGTCTTGGCCACGGCCGTCGTCGCCGCGCCGCTCCTCAGCATCACAATCAGATGACGGCCAATAAATCGCGGGGTTATTTACTTTTTGTAACGAATGAGTTTGAGATTTTGTGAGGAAGGGAGACCCTCGGAGACCCCTATGCATACATCTTCGCACGCTGGTTGAAAACTCTGCGTTTCGGAGGAAGAAAAAAGAATACCTGTCGGGGATTTGAACCCTGGATCTCCGACCGGAAAACCGACGCCGCTACCGATGTAGCCACTGCGCCGCAACGTCGCAGCGCCCCGCCAACAGGTGCTGTGCGATGCAGTGACCCCATTGCCCCTTCCAACGCCCCAGTGGCGCGGCAGGCCTCCATTTGTCAAAATAGCGCGCCAGTTTGCCGGCCCTTCAGAGAGAGAGAGAGAGAGAGAGAGAGCATTAGTGTCCGCTGGCAAAGCGGCCGTGAAATACAACGCCCTAAACGTGGATGGCGAAAACAAAATTATCGAATGTGTCGATTGGGAGGGCGTCGCTCGCTCGGCGTGTGCGGGGTGATGGCGAGGTGATGGCGGGGTGTGCCCTCGACAGCAGCGTGGTGGCGCAAAACGCGGACAGGCAGCACTCACTCCAATTAAGGTCCTCCAGGGCACAGGCAGGGCACTGGCAGGACACTGGCTGGCAGGGCACTGCAAACGTCGAGCAGGTGGAAAGCGCGGCAGCGCCGCAGGGACCACAGCACCGTATCTATCCGTCGCTCCATCTCACTCGCACCCCTACGGACCGACACGCGAGTGCGAGAGAGACAACTCGCTGCCTTTGTTTCGCGCGTGACGTACGCGGGCCTGGCTGACAGTGCGGTGCGCTGAGGGTGACACGGCGGCCGATTTGGGGTAGTCGGTGGAACGTAGGAACTGGAGCGGACAACGCGCCATTCAGCGCATTGTGGGTGCGGCGCGGCATGTCCATGTCGCCCGCCCTCCACGCGTGCGGCCCGGCCGCCAAGTGCGTTTCGAGCTCCAGAGTCGCTAACTGGGACTCGAGCCGAACGTGTGACCCCACCAATGGATGGCTCTCCGAACGAGGAACCCGTTGGTGGGGTCACACGTTCGGTTCGAGTCCTGTTTAGCGACTCTGGAGCTCAAAACGCGTCTCGAATTTTGGCGGCCCCCGCCGGTCTTCTGGCCCACTGTGTGCCCGCCGCTCGTGGCGCTTCGGAAACCGATGTTCTCCGGAGTACCGCCCGAAGGCATCCCGAAGGCGGCTCGAAGGCGGCCCCGCGGCACCCGATGTCGGAATCCTCCGACATCAGACGCATCCGGCGGGGCAAAAAATAAATAAAAATCTCGCCAGTATGACGAAATGGAACTGGCTGGCGTTTGGCGGGCTGCCGAGGAGCGGGGCTTGTGCACGCGGGTCGGCCTGAGCACGGGCCAGCCTGGGCCAGCCTGGGCGGCCGGCACGGATCGCTATGAAAAATGAAGCAGTCACCAGCCGTGGCGGGCCGTGGCCGCGCTGGGGTGCAGGCCCTGGCCAGGCCCCGGCCAGGACCGGGCTGCTCCATAAAGGACGCTCGCTGAGTATGTATGTGTGTTCCTGCAGGATCGCCCCGGGCGCGGTCCGGGAGGGCCGGCGGATCCAGGACGGATCCAGGGTTGCCCCCCCCCCTTCCCTCTGGCCGGATCAGGTTATTTTGCAGGTGTTATTGTAAGAATGACGCCTGACGCCCCGGGGGTGGACCGTACCCCGCACCGCACCGCCCCGCCCGGCACGTAGGGACCGAAAAAGCGAACCACGAATAAGGGTGGAAAAAGGTCTTCGGCGCCTGCGGTCAGGTGCGCGGCATTCGCAGGCCAGGTGTGTCTGAAAAAGGGAGGAAAAAGAAGACCGTGGTATGGAAAAATTGGCGTTCCGAGCGAAACCAAAGGCGACGTGTGTGTGTGAGCGTGTGTGTCTGTGTGTGTGTGTGTTTGTGTGTGTGTTTTGGTGTGTGTGTGTGTGTGAGTGTGAGTTGTTTCTTCTCGTCGCGCTTCTTTTGAAGGGCAGGCACACAGGGGGCCAGAAGACCAGTGGAGGCGGCCAAAATTCTAGTCGCGTTTTGAGCTCTAAAGTCGGTATACTACCCTGATAGAACTGGGACGTCACTCGGAAGTCATTTTGCACGACCCCATTCCGGAGTTCATAGTTTGTACGACCTCTTTTTGTCCGACCTGCCGAAATTCGTCCGACCTCCTTCCCGTGTTATTTTTTCTACGACCTCTTTTTGTCCGCCCTTACCACCCCCTCAGCCCCGCCCCTCAACACTCGACAAACAAACATGGTCCCCACGACGGAGTCATTGGCTGAGCTAGCGAAGCCCATGCCGTGTTTGGGCGCACCAAAAAGTGACTGGTCGGAGTCTGTCTGTCCGTCTGTGAGTCTGTAGCGTACACGCTCACGTTTCTCAGCAACTACAACCCCAATTTTCCCCAAATTCGTATTGAACATCTCCAAAGTGTCCCACGGGGGGAGTTTATCTTAGATCAACAATTTTCATCGTTTGAAATATTCAAAACATCGTTTTGAACTAGGTTATTAGCGTTGTTTGGTTGGTAGCAGTGTGTGGGTTACCAATTCTCATACCGGCTGCCGCGCTTCCCAAACCGTCTGCAAGACAGGACGGTACTTATGCAAAAAAACAAACTGAAGAGCAAAGGGGCTCTCAAAAAGGTTCTGAGTTAGTTTTTTAACATTCTAGAATGATTAAAACCCTTCCGGAGTGTCAACAGAGGAAAATACGAAAACTAAAGTGAGAAAGGTTTGCGTGTTTCGTGCCCCCCTCCCCCTCCCTCGTCACAGGGGAATCTTCTGCAGGTCAGTGCACTGTGAGTGTAGTTTGGACTGAAAATAGAATGTTTTCTTTGCCTGTTACTTTTGTGTATCTACTGATTTTTTTTCTCTGATACCATCCTTATTTTTAAATTTACTTTTAAATTTCATAGAAAATCAAATTAGGTAAAGCATGAATAACTTCTGTTGAAATTAGAAGACAAGTTACATGTCTTTGTTTGACTCGGGAAATGACATCCTATTTTAATGCTGCAACCTAACATAAATATTTTTGTACTGCATCTATGATTAAAAAAATCCACATATGGGTGTGTATTTTTTAAAGCTAATAAATTTTGAATTGGTATTTGGGTTCAATGAGACGATTCAGATTGTGAGCGGTGAGTGACTTGGTAATTGGATTTAATGAGACGATTCTTTTCACTTCACCAAAGTTTGTGTCCGATAATGGAACTTAGTATTGGTAATAGTTTAAATGGGCTCTCCGAACAAAAGCCCAATGCCTAATGTTAATCCTGTACTGTCATCTTTTACTCCAAAGATAAACTACCACAAGACATGAATAAGATAATGGCGTATTGAGCAAAAAGTGGCCTCTGCATTGGACTTCATGAGACAATTCACTGAATTTTACAAAACTTGGTTTCCCTCTTAGCTTCAGATCAGCCTGCCCTAAACTGATTCACTTAATAAAACCCATGATTACATATTCCAGTCTATATTGTTTTAAATTTACTGGTTTAAAAAGAAGAATGACAAAAGGCTACCAAAATAACTAATAAATTTGTAAATTCATTAGTTTGAAGAAACAGATATACGAGTAGTGACTCAAGCAGACGATTAGCCAATTAAGCGATTCAATGGAATGTTATCGACTGAGGAATCGCATTGGTTTCGCATTAGGGTGACGACATGGGGTGATCCCTGAACCCAGACCAAAACTCTATCCGTTATTAATCAATTCAATATCAATATTTTTCAATGAATCTCACATTAATTCTTGCAGTTTTTTGGGGTGCCAATCATGAAAATCACTTTTATTTTTACTCCAGACTTATAGTTTCATCTCAAATTAGCTCATTTTTGACCAAACTTTTTAGGTCGAGTTTTTATTGTTTTTTGCAGTCTTGGGTGTGCTGAACTCAAAAATGACTTCCAAATTTTTCCCAGATTCACACTTTTCCTAATTTTTACCCAAATTTTTACCAGAATTTTTTAGTTAGTTTGATGTTGATCTCAGTGTTTTTTGTGTCCCGATAACGAAAATCACTTCCATTTCGACTCCAGACTTATATTTTCATCCCAAATTAGGTCATTTTTGGGCCAAAATTTTCAAGTCGAGTTTTATATTTTCCTGCAGTTTTTGGTGTGCTGAACTCAAAATGACTTCCAAATTTTTCCCCGACTCGCGCTTTCCCAAATTTTTACCAAATTTGGACCAAAATTTTTTAATTGAGTTTTATGTTGATCTCAGTAGTTTTTTGTGTCCTTAACGAAAATCACTTCCATTTCGACTCCAGACTTATATTTTCATCCCCCAAATTTGGTCATTTTGGACCAAAATCTTCAAGTCGAGTTTTATATTGTTTCCCGCATTTTTGGTGTGCTGAACTCAAAAAGACTTCCAAATTTTTTCCCCGACTCAGCTTTTCCTAATTTTGACCAAATTTGGACCAAAATTTTTGAATCGAGTTTGACGTTGATCCTAACAGCTTTTTGCGTGCTGAAAACGAAAATCACTTCCATTTATACCGAGACCTACATTTTACTCAGAGCCATAAGTTGCTCATTTCGTCCAGTTAAGCAAAGTCCGAAGTGCAGAAAAATAATTCGCATCGCTCAGCCACACTACGCGCCCACAGTAAACGGCGCGTACCCCTAGTATAAAGTTTGGTTTAAAAAAAACGTAAAAAATTTTAACCCTACGACCCGCTCCCCCCCCCAATGGGGGTTCGAGCCGCTGCTTAACTTCGGGTTCGGATGGGAACGGTGTGTCCAGGCTTTAAACTGCTACCGCATAGTTCAGCTTCTGTAGGACCGCTATTGCCTTCTTACACATGAAGGACCGCCTTATGAGGGCAGCCGGCGATCGTAGGGTGACAGAGATAGAGAATGAGAGAGACAGACAGAGAAGAGGTTTGGTGGGAGCTTCTTGTTTTCGTAGGGTTGGTTGTGTACCCATGGTACCCCACTGTCCGGCGCTCCCGTACCGAACATACAGCGTTTTTGGCCAGCTTCAAAGGACTTATCATGCTCCCCGACAAATCGAGGAGGCACCACCC